TCGAGCTGCTCAGCCAGCATTTCGACTTGTTCAACCGTGGCAACGGGGAGTATGAAAGCTTGCTCCTTCCACCATAACCAATCGGTAGGCAGAGATCCCTCTCGAGGGTTGGGGTAGTACCGACGTGTTCGGCACGCGGGGAAAAATGCATTTCTGTCCAACCCTCGCCTTCGGAGGTCCAGCAACAGCCTCAACCTAGTCTCAAGGTGCCTCCAAAGACGCCCATGAAATGAAATGGAAGGGAAGCCTCGACATTTCGACGATGCTGGGACCAAAAACGTGGAGTATGGTTGTCCCCATCTGATCGATAAGGCAGGATCCTTATGGAGCTTGACCAACAACTCAGCTGCCGACGATTTCAACCATTGCACGGTAGCTGTTTCAAGGCCGTTTTCATCAGTCAGCTGCTCGGGAAACTCCTCCCAAGGATCTTCCTGAGGCTCAGGTTCACATCCGGCTGGCGGTGCTACAGGTAGCGACGGTGGCTTCCTAGTTACGCGGACCGCACGTTGCTGAAATTCAGCTGATACATTGAGAACCACAGGAAAGTGCTTAGGAATGACATCGGTGTCGACAACAGTGCATGTACAATCGTCGGCAAAAATACGATGAACCACAAAATAATCAATACATGACGATGTCTGCCCACTGACGTATGTGATCGAAGACGGTGCAATCACAGCTGCATGCACTAGATCTGGCCATCCAGTGTCCAAGAGGTCCCGAGGAGACATCTGCCAATCCCCGCCGATGATGAACGGGGTGCCGAGGGCTTTCAAGACACCAGCAATCCTGAGCAAGACCTGAGTGTTGTTTTCCTTGGCCTCTGAAGACGTACCATCATACAAATAAAGTGTGAAAATGGGGACGCCTAGGGGTGGCAATACGCACCACGTACATCCCAAGAGTCTTTCTGAGACAGGCCAGTGTAGTTGATCGACTCCTAGCTTCAGGGGTCGAAGACCATATGGCCAGGGAGAAAGAACAGATACCCCAGCAGAAAAACCACCAGCATCAGTGGGAATCGAAGCATGCATATACGCATGATAACCACATGTATTCGCTTGCTGGATGGCCGAATCGATCACCGCGGGACCCCTTAATAACTCTTGCAAGAGATATGCATCATAGTGCCGTGTTCCTACCAAAGACTGGCCATTGGTCCACGACGTAATGTTGGCAGTGGCCAACTGCCACGCACGAGTAGTGTATCGACGGCGCTTAGAAGCACGCTTGCGACGAGGAGCAGGTGGCTCCACTTGGTGTGATAGTACTACACCGGGTACATTCCTCTGGACCTGGCTGTCCAGAGGTTGCTGTCCGTTACCCGTCAGACGAACGGGACTGCTGCTCTGGGGCAGCGGCACGCTCAGGCTGAGGATGAGACTTAGGATCACCACCAAAAGAACGAACGAGACGACGGGCACGATATCGGTCCCAATCTCTGGCTGGGGCGTCTTCGTCATCATCGTCCGCCGACTCGTCATCCATGTCACCTTCGTCATGCTGGGCATGCCATTCCTGCCTGTCCTTCCTCTTAGCGCCTGCCCTTCCTGACCGATCCTCCTCCATAGCCGCCGACACCGACGTAGTGCCATGAAGAACTGTCATTGCATCAGCAATATGTGGCAGGTGTAGCAGTTCCCGAGGTATGGCAGAATGCAACACTGATAAGGCATCAGCGTGTGAGCCTGTATTAGCTGCTTGTGGACTGGATGCCTCCAGGGAGTCACGCTTGGCGTACCAATCGTCCAGGGCATCAAGGAGCTTGTTTTTCCGTGCAACGAGCTTATCCTTCCGAGCCAACAGCTCCTCGACCTGCTGGTTGATCGAATCAATCGCTGTATCAGCCCGTGCAAGTTTACTGGAAGTCCATTTGATGTGACTGTCGATCTGGCTTCGACGCTGTTCTGGAGATAGTAATTGTTGTTTCTGGGCCTCGGCATTTTCAGTGCCTCGGCGAACGTACTTGAGCTCCGTAGCAACAGGGACCTTATCAGATATGTTTTGGAGGGTCTGGGCGTAGCGAGTCCTAGCCGCAAGAAGGGTATCCAAATGATGTAGATCATCTGTGTCAGGAGCCCCTGCTGCAGGATCCTCCTCCCCATCAACTTCCTCCTCACATTCCGTTCCGATTTCGTCATCATCCCGACCATACTGAGGTCCCTGCCATTCTTCAGGGTAATCGGGTACAGCAGAGGGCTGACGACCGGGAGCATTGCAATGTCTCCCTTGATGATCTCCCCCTTGTTGCTGTTGGTTACGCTGCTGTTGATCTGCACCTTGCTTAGATCCTTCACGCTTACCTCCTCCGTGCTTTCCGCCACCATTTCTGCCAAGAACGGGTGGTTTTCCTCGACTGGGGAATGCGAGGCCACAGAGATTACAAAACTGCGCCTTGTTGGTAGCCCAGATCCAGCTGCGCACGCCACAAGAAGAGCAAGCAAGGTATCGCGTCGATGCCATGAGGTACGGGCGGACTGGCGGAGGAGGAGGGGGACGTGGAGTGGGAGCCGATTGAACCGCTCCCGTGAAAAATTGAGACCTGTCCTCAGAAGCCCTCTGAGCCTCCCCGTCGGCTTGAGCCAAAACGGCTTGAGCCAAAATGGCTACGGAGGAGGAGGAGGAGGAGGAAGAGGACCAGGGAAGGAGGAGGGTTTCGCGCACGTTTTCATCGCGAGAGGATCTCACAGATGCTCCTCGAGGGACCCCATCGAAGGAAAAAACAAAACGCACACGCCCAAGCGATGCCCAGGTCATGGCGATGTGGCTCTTCTGCAACGACTCGCCGCAGACGCCCGCCCGAGCGCACCGCGACGCGCTGCGACGCGCCGCAAAACGCGCCGCGAAATGCGCCGCCACGCCCCACGGCGGCGGGCCTGCGTGCCCGCCCGCGGGGGCCGCGCCTCCAGCGGTGATGGGCAACGATAGGGGGGGACTGGCATAGGGGGGGACATCGACTTGGAATCGGCGATACATCGCCGATAGATTGGTGGTAGGGCCCCGATCGTGAATCCGCAAGTTCCTGGGCAGGTTCGGGCTATCGGGCCCCTGTCGTTAGAAAGCCCAGGGTTCGCTGGGGACTGGTTTCCTCCCAAAGCGACTAAAACACGTCCAAAACCCTCCGGAAACCTTCAAAAAACCCTCCCGGAACCCTTCCCGGAGGGTCTTCGGAGGGCTTCGGGGGGTTCTGGTTTTTTTCCAAGAAAACCAATCCCTGGCGAACCTTGGACTCTCCAACCCTATCGGCGATCAACCAGGGGCGATTGGGCGTCGATGCGTTCCCCCCTATATAGGGAAACGAACAATGACATAAACATAAAACTCGGAGGTCTGCGCGAATTTCTCGGATCGGCGCTAAACCCCTCATTGGCGCGCGGAGCGCGCCAGGGGCGGCGCCGGAGGCGCCGCCGGGGGGGCCCAGCGCCGATCCGAGAAATCTGCGCGGACCTCCGAGTTTTGATGTTTACGTCATTGTTCGTTCCCCTACCCTGATGCCTATCCCCTCTAGTTACCGTTGCCCCCGAGGTGGCCACCGCGCTGCAGATCCAGCCGCACCGCTCGGCGGCGACGATGGGGGCGAATAGCCCAGGCGCGGGCATTACACGTATTCGCCCGGGAACCTCCTCGAAGACATAGATCATCGGCGCACCTGAATACATGTACGGCAAGTTCGCGTCGTGACGACCCCGGCGGTTGTTTCTGACACCGCGTGCATCGCTCAACCTTGAACGATCGGCCGTTCCCGCAGCGTCCTATCGTTCAACATCGACCTATTCTGGGTCGCCGCCGGCGTTCAACATTGAACGCCGCCGGCGGGGTCGCCGCTGGTCGACACGACGCGAACCTACCGTGTTGCTCTCCCCTGGGCTACTCGCCCCTATCGTCGCCTCTGAACCGCGGCGCGCCATGGAGGGGTCTGGCCCCGGGCGGAGTGCGCGCCGCGGGCCGCGCGCCCAGCGGCACGGCCGCCGCGCTGCACCGCGCCCGCGACCGCGCCGAGGCGGCCCGAGGCGGCGTGCTGCACGACGAGCTCAGGTCGGGCGTGTCCTCCTACAGGCGGATCTGGGACGATTTATTATTATATATACACATACATATCAAGAAGAAGACATCAAAAACAATGCCCACAAATAGTAGAAAGCTCGTCCCCCGGACTATTGGTATGACTGTTGTTGGATACCCCTCCTGCAGAGGGACCTGCCCGACTTCAGGCCGGGACGAAGGCCAGAGCGGGCGAGGACTAGGGCGACGCAATCTATACATATCCACTGCTCCCTGGCCAGGCCCATCCTCAACCCCGCAGCGGTGTATACGCCACGCCCTCCTGGCTTGGCCAGGAGGGCGCATACACAGCTCCTGGGTTCAGGATGGGCATGGTCAGGGAGCAGTGGATATGTATAGATTTCGTCCCCCGACGGACAGACCCAGAGACCCGGCACTCTCCCCCCCCAAAAAAACAACCAGAGCGGGCGGTTCTGTGGCCATGCTCGGCCTCCCGGCGCCCTCGCCGGGCCTCGCGGGACCGCCAGGAAACGACTCGGGGCGACGGGCTGGCTTCGGGGAAGCGGCCCAGACCTCCGAGAGGCCCACGCATCGGAAAAATTGGACCGGCTGGATGCCTGGGAATCGAGAATCTGCCGGATGCCTGGGCATCGAGAACCTCGGAGGTCCCGCGGCTCCCGAGGATGCCTCGGGCGCCGCGGCCTTCTCAGAGTGCTCCGGCACGCGGAACGCTCCGAGAGCGCTCCGGAACGCCCTGGAACGGAGCTGCCCTCCCAGACTGCGTGGGCCTCGGAGGCCTGGACCACTTCCATGGGGCCAGCCTGTCGTCCTGAGTCGTTTTATGCCGTCCTGAGTCGTTTTTTGTTTGTTTGTTATTTTCGGCCTCCGGGGGCCCCTGGAGGCCGAAAATACCCCAAAACCGCCAGCTCCCATTTTTGGGGAGCGCTGGATCTCTGGGCTCGTCCTGGCCCCGCCCGAGGCTGCTGCGGCCCAGGCTACGCGGGCGGGCTGCCGGGGCCGCCGGGCGGCGCCAGGTGCTCGGTGAACCAGGCGAGCATGCGGCGGTCGCGGTCCTGGCAGGGCGATGGGGGGTGGAGGGAGGAGGGGAAGGAGGGGGAGGAGGGGAAGGAGGGGGAGGAGGAGGAGGAGGAGGAGGAGGAGGAGGAGGAGGAGGAGGAGGAGGAGGAGGAGGAGGAGGAGGGGAGGAGGAGGAGGAGGAGGAGGAGGGAGGAGGGAGGAGGGAGGGAGGGAGGGAGGGGGACAAGCTAGGTGCGCTCGCGTCATATCTGACATCCTACCCCTCCCTCCCATCCCTTACCATGGCGTAGATCCCCTCTCTACTCGCACTGTCGGATGTCGAGCAGGGCAATGATCCCGAAAGGGTACGCGATGCATTGTAGAGCACGGCGTGGCATGGCGTAGAAGAGCACCGCAAAGCGTAGTATGTCACAGCATGGTATGGCGTGGCGTAGTGAAGAATTGCAGCGCAAAGCTTTGCAACGCAACGCATGGCATCGCACAGCGGCCCCGAAGGGTTTCACGGATTGAAGGCGGCCCATTTTCAAAATGTGGCTCTCGCTTTGGCGCTGCACACAATCGCGTAAATTTGCAAGAGTTTCACGGATTCCCATGATCAGACCAGAAATGGCGTTGTGGAAAGATTCCGGACTCTGAGGGCGCAACAATTATGTTGATTCGCGGTGTTGAAATCCCAAGAATGGAGTTCTGGTGCGATTCTGGATCGTCAAGACGCAACAGTCAGGTTGATCCGCGGCGTTGGAATCCCATCAGTCAGGGTTCAAACGGTTGTCTTCCAACGAGGCAGTTCCCACAGTGGAAATGAACCCTTGTAGGGGCCTATGAAGAGGGAGCTTGGAGGGGGAGCTTATTCCAACATCGTTGATGACTCTTGGGTTTACACTGGTCCATCTCCTCCTCCTCCTCCTCCTCCTCCTCCTCCCAAGGCCTCTCAGAGCCCTCCAGGTCGTGCAGGAGCTCCAAACACACCTCTCGACTCTGGGACTCTGGGCGTCGGATTTGCTTGTTGACCCTGGGCGTTCTCCCTCGGTTCGGGCCGCACTTGGCCCGAGGAGTGCCAGAAAGCTGGGGTGGTGTTTGGGCTCTGGTTGTTGCTTCTTGCGCTCTGGTCGTGATCCCTTGCGATGCTGCGACGTCGGATCTCAGGGATCTTCCATCGAGGCCTTCTCCAATCCCCCCCAGGGCCTCACACACCATGGTTGCCTTGGGAGCTCGTTCGGCGCCTGAGCCCGTTCGGCCGCCGCGCGGGGAGCCGAGCGTGAGACCCGGGCCCGCTCGGCTGCCGGAGAGGCGCGATCTCGAGCCCCTTTGGCTGCCGAACGGGTTCCGAGGCAGTGTTGGCTCCGACGGGAACCCCTGGGCAACGTACCCCACGGCCTTCTGGAACCCCTCGGTGCCTCTCAAGCCTCCCGAGACCTCCGATACTAGATATAGAGGTCCAACAAATCCACCCCCAGAATGACCACCCCGACACGCGAAGTCGTTTGGTAAACGCGCCCAAAGAAGGAATCGAACAGGGCGTGGCTGTTTAGTAAACGCCCAGGGCCGTTTAGTAAACGCCAATCGTCCGGTCTGGGTTTACTTTCCTCCCTTGACCAAGGCCTTCTGGAACCCCTCGGTGCCTCGGACGCCTCTCAAGACCTCCGATACCATGGCCTCCCCTGGTTTCCAACGTCCGAGATCTCTCAGGGCATCTCGGGGATTCTAGGGAGCTGCTGGTGCCTTCCAGAGCCCACCAGAGCTTCACACACTCTCAGTCGAAGCGCTGACATTTTTCGTTCTTCAACGGGCAAGGTGGCACTTTGACTGATTCGAAGGCAGCTGGTGTGGGCATCCGAAATCTGCGCTCGATGTGGCAGGCGGATCAGGGCACTCGCCACCGCTGCGACCACGTGCTGTAGCGCACAAAACATGCTGTGGGTATCCGATATCTGCGCTCGATGTGGCAGGCGGACCCTAACACTCGCTGCCGCTGCGATCACGTGCCGTAGCACAAAAAATGGTACGGAACTCTTCAGTCCGTCACCGAATTCTCAGATGCGCGAAGGACGGGTAACACGACATCGAGGTCGGCCACCCCCAGGGAAGCCAGCGGCCCGCGCCTTTGCGAGGGCCGCTGCAACTGGGGGTGGCCTCGGCCGAAGTCTACACGTTGGTCGGAAGAAGTAGGTAGAAACATGCAGTAGGAAGCCGGAAAAAGTAGAGTGTGCCCGTGACCAACCGCACGCCGCAGTCGGAGTCCCTCGCGGACCTGAAAAATGTCAGGCCTCATGGCCCGCATCTTTCATGGAGTCGGGCGGCGTGGCAAGATGCCTCGGCCGCAGACCAGGCCTTTGCGAGGGCTCGCTGCCGCTGCACCAGGAGAGGGGTGCCCTAAATGTTATTCATGGGATGGGGAGGCTTGGAAGCTCGGAAAACATTCTGCTACGAGCGTGCCCCTTTCAGAGCTTAGCGATGGGCTGCGAAACCGAGCGCCGCAGCAAGGGCGAACAGCGGCGCCGTCCGGAACGCCGCGCGGGGGGCCGCGGGGCTCGTCGTGTCGTCGCTCATGGTGGTGTCCGTCAGGCGGCGCTCGTCGGCCATCGTGGTGGACTCGTCCACTGCCGCCCCAGCCGCGTTGCCCACGAACAGGAACGCGATGAGCGCCAGGAGCATGGTTCCAAGGGCGCCGCTACGAGCTGCGGCGCTCGTCGTGTCGTCGCCCATGGTGGTGTCCGTCAGGCGGCGCTCGTCGGCCATCGTGGTGGACTCGTCCAGCGCCGCACCCGCCGCGCTGCCCACGTAGAGGAAGGCGAGGAGCGCCAGGAGCACGGTGCCTGGGCTTCCAGTGCGAGGCGCGGCGCTCGTCGTGACTTCGCCCACGGTGGTGGCGTCATCCGTCAGGCGGCGCTCCTCCATGGTCGTTGTCTGCTCATCGGCGACGCAGCCATGGCTGGAGAGCAGGAGGGTGAACACGGCGAGCACCACGCGGTTCATCGCGGCAAGGGCGGAGCGGCAGAGGCCGAGGGTGCGCAGACAAAGCCTGGTATGCCAGAGGCCTTGAGCCCAACAGTAGAAGCACTAACAAAGGACGAACATCGAGAAAACATGCAATACTGGAAACTAAACTATGGGGCGTCCCGGGGAGGGAAAGAGGAAGGGAGGTGGAACGGGAGAGGAGGAAAAGGGGTCGTGCCCTTCCCTGGGGCACGACCCCTTTCCAGGGGCACGAATCTTTTGGGTTTTACGTCGCATCTTATAGATTTGCCCTCCCGGGGCACGAACCCTGCGAAGCGTCACGAGCTTCACCGGGCGACAGGAGAATAGGTTTCAGGCCGAATAGAGGCTTCACGAGCTTCACCGGGCGTCGGGGGAATAGAGGCTTCAGGCCGAATAGAGGCTTCACTGGGCGCCAGGGGAATAGAGGCTTCAGACCGAATAGAGGCTTCACGAGCTTCAACGGGCGTCAAGGGAGTAGAGGCTTCAGACCGAATAGAAAATTCACGAGCTTCACCGGGCGTCTGGGGAATAGACGCTTCAGGCCGAATAAAGGCTTCACGAGCGTCATGGGCGATAAAGGGCATCGTTTTGGCCTCCTGGATGCCTCTTGGGGGTCTCCTGGGGCCTCCTGGGGCCCCTTTGGGGCCTCCCGGGGCCCTGTGGAGGCGGGAGGCTCGAATTTCGGGTTCGCGGTTTCCCTCTTGGGGCCCTCTTGGGCCCCTCTTCGCCTGTCTTGGGAGCGTCTGGGGCCGTCTTGGGGCCCTCCAGAGCCGTCTTGAGGCCCTCTTGGAAGCCTCTTGGGTTGTCTTGGGGCGTCCGCGGGGGGCCTTTGAGCCGTCGTGGAGCGTCGGAAAGCTGAAAAGGCGGGAAAGGCAACATGTATCCAAAACATGCGTAACATTAGCGATTTTGGCCTCTTGGGGCCCTCTGGGGGGGCCTCGTGGAGGCCTCTTGGCGTCTTGGGGGCCTCTTGGGCCGTCTTGGGTTTATCTTGGGCATCTTGGGGCCCTCTTGGCGCCTCTTGGGCCTCTTGGAGCCTGCTGGGCCTGTCGTGGAGCGCTCTTGGGGCACTCTTGGGCCGCCTGGGCTGGTCCAGGGAGGCTCCAGGCCCCCCCCCGTCCCGCCATGGGGGGTCGAGGCACCTGTCCTGGGGCCCCCGGCCTCGCCCCCAGGGATGTGTATATATATATATATATATATATATATATATATATATATATGTGTATGCATGTATACATGCACTATATATATATATATATATACACACACACGGAGAGGCCAGGCGCCCGGACGGCGCGTCAGTGACAGAGCGTTGGCTAAGGACTGACCGGCCCCCGCGCGCACCAAGCACGCGCGCGTCGTGCCAGCGAGCGGCGGGCGACAAATCGACGTCGCGAGCACAAGAGACACATTCGCCAGGACAACGCGCATGCGTCAGAAGGCGGAAGAGGGAGGAGGGTGAAGAGGACGGGGGGGGAGAGGGGGAGGGGGGGGGGCAGCTCTGCCACCATAGCCCCCTGCTGCGCGGTGGTTTCACGGAAATGCCCTTCGCGCGTTTCCAGTGCAGCTCCGACCCCGCGGATCGATCGACAATAGCCTCCTCTATCCGCCAAAGGTCCGGGCACCTCTTCGCCGCTTCTTTCACTTCCTGCGTTGCCCAGTCTTGTCTCGGGCGACCAACCCTTCGGATGAGTAGGCCGATCACAAATTGCACCGATGACCAACCAAGGCACTTCGCCGCAATGGGCCCCCTGCTGGCGAGCGCCCGGCACGAGTCAATAATGCCAACTGTTGGTCGAGCAATTGATCAGTGACCGGGCGGGCACTCGCATGGCGGGCGATCTCGTCGCTGGAGACTCTCGATACACATGCGGGTGGCACATTGAAAACGGCGCTGCCACCAGCGCGCATGGGCACCCAGAGGTCTGCGCCGCTGGGCCGTGGCCAGCCAGGTCGCGCATAAGCCGCAGCGGAGCTTCGATAAGACAAAAACCTGACATAATTTCAACTCGTCCTGCCTGGAGAGATCAGCGCGCGCCCACACTTGCTTCTGCTTGGCGAACTCTCCATGCGCGTCGCCAATTCTCCTGGACAGTTCGGAGTCCACCCGCCCGTCGTTGCTCGCCAGGCCGCCCGGGTGCACCATCGAGCCGACCTGCGCCATGGGCTCGCCAGAGTCCTGTTCGAGGATCTGGACGGCGCAGACACGGGGCGCCTGGGCCTTTCGCCAATTCAGCGTCATGCCGCACTCGAAGCCGGCCCACTACTGCTTTTGCAAGTTCTTGCACGCGTTGCGCTCTCGTTCCGATAGGCAGGGCGTCGTCCGCGCACAACGCATCACATGATTTCTCGATGCTGCGGGCGTCGGCCGCGCTTGCTCCGAGCATGCCGTAGGCGTCGTTCATCAGAGCTGCCATGGCAACGACGAGGAGAAACAGAGGCAGATGGCACCCTTGGCACGTGCCAGACGCTGCCAGCGCCACCGGGATTGAACGCCGCAGTGGCGCGCCACGGAAGCCTTCTCCGAGTATATCGATCTCACAATGTCTAAGAAGAGGCCCGGGGCACCGAAACCTCCGCGAGGCGCGCGGCAGACCCTCGACGTCGATGGGCTCGAGTGCCTTCTTCCAGTCGAGGGCATGTCGGCGCGCAGCTCAACCGCGACGCGCCCGCGCCTCCTCCGCGGTCCGCCCCGGCGCAGCGCATGGCGTCTCTGGCGCCGCGCCTCGGGTTCAACCCAAACTGCGAAGTCCAGATCGGGTCGCCCGCCGCTGCCCTCATAATGAGCCTCCGCAGGAGCACCATGGCGCAGGCTTTGCACGCCAAGCTCGGCAGTCATATTGGCCCTTGGAGAGACGATGAGAAGAGAGAGAGAAGGAGAGAGAGAGAGAGAGAAAAAGGGGGGGAGAACAAAAAACAAACAAAAGAGAGAGAGAGAGAGGAAAAAAGAGAGAGAGAGAGAGAGAAAGAGAAAGAGAGAGAAAGAGAGAGAGAGAGAGAGAAAGAGACAGAGAAAGAGAAAGAGACGGGCCTGGTCAGCCTGGTTTGAGCTCAGGGCTGAAGCGTTAGCTTAGGATTCGGGCGAGACACGTGCAAGGCGGGGCCAGGGGGGACAGTGCCAACCACTGCGACAGCAAACCAATTGTTGCTGCACTGCGTTGTTTTTTTTTGCGTGCAAGATGTTTGCAGCATCCGGTCTGGCCGGTCTGGTTGGTCTAGCTTGAACTTAGTGCTGGAACTTTAGCTTAGGACTTGGGCGAGAGCGGATCAGGGGGGGCCAGGGAGGCGGGGCCAACCACTAAGACAATCAACCAGCGCGTTGCATTGCACCTGGTTTTTTGTGTTGCAGCTCAGTGCGCATTGCAGTTGTTTCTGCATTGCTGTTCGTCTGCATTGCAGCTCTGTGGCGCTGCAGTTGTTCGGGCGCTGCATTGCTGTTTCAAAGCACCAGCGAGGCTTTCGCTGGTCTGTTCTGATGTTGGTTGGTCTGGTCGGTCTGGTTGGTCTACCTGGCTGGCCTAGCTGGTCGATCTGAGGGGTCTGACTGGCTGGTCTGGCTGGTCTGCTTGGTTTGGCGAGGTCCCTCTGCTCGGCCTGGTCTGCGCTTCGCTTGTCTGAGCGGCTAACTGGCCTGGCTGGTCTGCTCAGTATACCTGGCTGGTCTGGCTGGTCTGATTGGCTGGTCTGGCTGGTCTGCTTGGTCCAAGTGATCTGGGCGGCAGGTCTGGTCGGTCTAATCTGTCGCCTGCTAATATACAAATATAACTGGTCTGGCGGGTCTGGCTTGAGCTAAACACTTGAAGCTTTAGCATTGCAGTTTCTTGTGCAATCCAGATGGAGGTCCAGCGAGGTGCGAAGCGCGCAGTGCGAACCACTACCACAGCACTACCGCTGCCAGCACAGTGCGCATTACAGTCTTTTCTCGGAGCTCCAGCGAGGTTTTTGCTGGTCTGTTCTGGTTGGTCTGGTTGGGTTGGTTTGCCTGGTTGGTCTGGTTGGTCTGGCTGTTGCTGAACAGCTAGCTGGTCTGGTTGGTCTGGTTGGTCTACCTGGCTGGCCCAGTTTGTCGATCTGCCTGGTTTGACTGGCTGGTCTGGCTGGTATGCTTGGTTTGGCGAGGTTCCTCTGCTCGGTCTGGTCTGTGCTTCGCTGGTCTGAACGGCTAGCTGATCTGGTTAGTCTGCTTGGTCGACCTAGCTGGTCTGGTTGGTCTACCTGGCTGGTCTGAATGGCTGGTCTGAGTGGCTGGACTGGCTGGCCTCCTCGGTCCAGGTGGTCTGGGTGGCCGGTCTGGTTGGTATATTTTGCTTGCTGGTCTGGCTGGTCTGGCTTGCTTGGCCTGGTGGTCACACCTCCTATCCTGCTGACTAGAATTACCGTTGATCAACTTGGGCGTCCTCCAAGCCTCCTGGCCTGCCGGAAGGAAAAGCCCTTCTTCCAATTGTAAGTTCGGCAGACCCTCTATCCTACTGGAGAACAAGAGGCACACGTGCCAAGCATCACACAATGACGGATACAAGACAATGTGAGATGGCGATGGCACCAAACTCTGGCAGCTTTGAAAAAAGTACACGAGCGCTGCGACAGGCCGGCGAGTGACCAGAACGAGGGAGCGGCGAATTGCAGCATGGCCGTGTGAATGCAGCGCACGGTTTCGATTTGAAGGCGATTCCAATAGAATGTGAGAGGTTTGCGAAGTTTCAGTGGCGTGTTTTCGAGTGCCTTTGTTACTTGGCGCATATGGGGCTTCTTGGTTCCTCACTGGAGGTTTCTAGCACATGTTTGGTGCCCTTCTGGGTCGTTGTTTTCTTTGTTTCGCAAGCGCGGTTGGCACAACTTTCTCAGTGCCCCATGCGTACATCAGAAAAGCTGAGGGGCTAGCTGCCAGCAGAGGGGTGCACTTGCGCGAAGACGTCACAAACGAAGCTAAGAATATTAAGACGTGCAAAGACACGTGCCAAGGTCAACAAGCCCGGCTGCTTGAATTCGCCGGCCCAACGGGCCAGAGGCGTGCTAGGATCTCCGGTAACTGGTTCACAATTCTTCTAGTTCGGGCGCGCGGGGCGGCCCCTGGGGGTCCCCC